CCCCAAAACCCCAAAACCCCAAAACCCCTTATAAATTTAGGATTATTGAAAGATGAATGAATGAAAATCTTACCTCAACATTCAGAAGAGAAACCCCTCCCAAAGGAGGAAACTATGAAGGAACTGGAAATGATGAACCAGAATGGTGTCAAAGAAAGTCTCTTAGAGCAACTGAGCCAAGATGCAGGTCTTTACTAAGTTCTGAGAGCAGCTGTTTTAATTATAAGCAACGCTAAGAAGCTAAAATAAAGGCTTGTATCACATTTTGGGAGTTCATGAGCAACCTCACCGCCTTCATGCTTGTTTTTCTTTGTAAATCCCTGTCCGATAGAGACCATAAAGCTCATGAGAAACATATCTTAGAGCAAAAGCAACAAACCGAATCTCAGAAATCTTATATTCAACCCTAAAGAAGAAGTATTCTGTACTTTATGAAAAATATATGTTTCCAAAATCAGAGAGGCTTGATAGAAACCTAATTGGTGAAATTTGAGATTCAGAAATGTATATGTTAAACATTTTGGTTTTATGATAGACTGATCTCTCAATTCAGCTGCTATAAGTATTCCGATTTTTAATTTGCGAGCATTTATGAATCCATTTACTGAATGTTTTACAAGAAATAGTAAAGCAGATGACCATCTCTCACTTTCAATTTGTTTTGAAGAATATTCATGAGATATTCCTGATACTTTAAGGGATATTTCATGAATTTCATAAAGTCTTCTTTGTTTAAAAGATTATGGGTTTTAGGAAGAAAAATAATAGACTCATTCTGAGTTGCAGGACTTGAATAATGTTGAGATAAAGGGGGACAAGGTTTAAAACTGATGATGAAAGCTGTTACCTCTTATTTTATCACTGAAATAGGTGTGATTTCAATGAAAATCTATCTTTAAGGGCTTATTAAGCTAATTCAAGGATTTAAAATCAATATATAATTTTTCCAAGAGAGATCTGATGAAATAGGGCAATTATGGCTTGTCTTTTCTTATGGATCGTAAAAAATCCAAATCTTATTAGAGCAATAAAGGTTGTTTTTTTGAAATATAAAATTCAAAGTATTAGCATTAAGATCAGGGTTTATAATCTATTCAGAAAGTTATTGCTGTCTAAATATGAACAAAATGGGTGCCTTCTTAAAGCCTTCAATTCTAAAATAAATTTCAGGATTAATACTCAAAATACAAGAGATCAGCAAATTCTTAAAAGAATATAAATTTTCATATTCCTACATGTAGCATCTTTAATTTTACCTACAACAAAAATGATGGGAAGATGGTCAGAAAAAATGTCTTTGACAAGTTTAGCAAGAAAACTGATAGTCTCCATTTATGCTATTCAGCCATAAATAACACAAACAAAAATGAGATCAACATTGGGGGTTGCCTCAAAGAATTATAGCTTGCTTCCTTGATCCTTACCAAGGTGTTCAGATTGGACTAGTTTAGCATTGATCAAGCCCAATTCAAGAGGATCTTCAGCCTTCCAAAGACATCAGGACAATTGAGTTTGGAAGGTGAATGATTGACCGGAATGCTGTGCCTGATTATTCTCTAGCTCTAAAGAGATGCATTCTTAGTAGCTTGAAATTCTACTTTTGTCACATAAATTTTCATATAGAGATCAACAAGAAAGTTGAGAGCTGTCATAACTTAGTTCAAGTTCTTAATCAGCCTCCAGATCTGATCCAAAATCTTGAGAAGTTAATACTAATTTACACTGGCTTGGCAGAAAAAGTTGTGAGGAGGATCTGCAAGATGAGACAGCTCCTTTAAATCCTTGACAAAAAAGTCAAAGCTAAAAAATATTCGAGAAATATCTTTATCTCTAATAATTTTTAATAATTTTACTTGAAAAGTACAGATGAATACATTAAGAATGTGCATATTGCTCGTTTAAAAATCAAAAAATTATTAGCAATACTGAGGTCAACCAAAGTATTCTAAAATGGGGTTTTGGGGTTTTGGGGTTTTGGGG